CCCCCAAGTACGTCACCCTTGAGAACTAAAAAAATGGTTTAAGGCGACGTCACTGACCCATGACGAGAGTTGATTGAGATTTAAAATTCCATATAGCATTAAAATTACTATTCGCTACCAAGTGTCATTTGCTGTTAAATTGCATAAATCACAACATAAAGTTTTACTTTTTTGTAATTTTTTTTTCAGTTTTTTTATGGGTATTATAATTTATTTTTAATGTGAAGTCATATGATCTTTAACCCCCCCCCCCCACATACACACACCTCGAGGGTGACGTTATTTATGGGTGGCCCCTACCGTCCCCTGCATAGGGGCATATAACTAACTTAATGACATCACTCAGGTTTTTTTTTACAATTAAAATTGTATTCCATTCAAACTAAGTATCATTCACATAAAGCTGTACGGAAATTTTTAAAAAAATCAGCAATAACATATGGCGTTAAATCATAATGATCATGTACGTTAGACAGTGGAGTAACTAATAATAAGAGTAACTTACTAAGTAACGCCCGGATACAGGGACTGGGTGACTTTCCGCTCCTCACACATAAAAACAACAAATCATAGAAGAAGACGCATCAAACAATAATGGTAATATAAAAGACCGAAAATACCCCCCCCCCCCCCCGTTTTTATGTATAACAAATATTAATATAATTTTTTAACTTAGATTTTTGTTTTTGAAAAGGCCTAGCTATTTGTTGTTGTTTTTTTTATCTTTTTCTTAGAAATTAGCATTTAATTTATTTTTTTATTTTGTAGCCTCCAGCTGTAATTATTTTTTGACAGATAAAAGTGAATGGATCCAGTTCACGTTTTTCCTTAAGAAAACACATCCGGCGCCTACTGCCGATCAGCTTCTACTGTATCATTTTGAAGGTTTCAGAAACTTACGGTATTTAGTGGTATTCCGGCCCAAAATAAAAATGGCGGCGCCCATTATAAAGCAAGAACCTACCGAAGAAATTGATATCGAAGCAAAGTAATTTACTATTTGTTGGCAAAGTTAGCCGTAGTAAAGAGTCTGCAGTAGGTCTGTTTAAGGGCCATCCATATATAATAAAAAATATATATTATATTAAATTCGCTAAAAAAGTTTACTAATTATAAGTGTGTTAGTGTTGGACTGCGATGTTAGACACAAAACAAGTTCAAGTAACAATCAGTGTCAATCACTTAACTCACAAACAATATGAATGTGTAGTAAAACAATATATTAATATGTGTTCAGATTTAATGATTATTGGCTGATTATTTTACAAAATACTTATGTAAACGTTTCCGCTAAAAAAGTTAAATCTTCCCTCCTTCCCCATTTTGGGACCTCTCTCACTCTCCATGATTGGCATGATAACCATTAGCCAGCATAGCCCATAGCCAGGATCCGCTGAACTGATGACTGATACTGACAATTACTGATGCTCCATGCAATAATTTGAAAGATGCTTAATGCTTACGTATGAATAAAAATGCTTCTTCCCGCCCTCCCCCCCCCATGTTAACTACTGCAGCAATTGGCAATAGGCTTTTTATTTTCTATACACATCTTTTAGTACATTAAAATTAAATATAATAATTCTGAAAGTTGAATATTGTTACCAGGGTTTCTTTCGGACATTTGGCCCCGGAAAAAGGGGAGGGGGAATTTCAGAGGGTCGGGTGGGCATTGGCTTAGGTTAAGATTAAGGGGGGGGGGGGGGGGGGGCTAAGGGCATTGCCCAACCTGTCTGACGTTTCTTCTTTATAAGGAGGGAAGGTATTTTCGAATAACTGCAGAATTTGTATCGTGGTATGGAGTACGGCAAAACACATCCATTACCCAAGGTGGCACTACACTAACCATGTCGCTACATGCAACAATTGGTGACCATGGCCAACTACACTGTCATTTTTTTTCCGGAAGTGGGGCAGAAATCGAGGGCGCCGATACCCCCTGAGCAAAATGGGGGATGGGGTAACAAATCTCGGACTCTCCCCACCCCCAAGTACGTCACCCTTGAGAACTAAAAAAATGGTTTAAGGCGACGTCACTGACCCATGACGAGAGTTGATTGAGATTTAAAATTCCATATAGCATTAAAATTACTATTCGCTACCAAGTGTCATTTGCTGTTAAATTGCATAAATCACAACATAAAGTTTAACTTCTTGGTAATTTTTTTTTCAGTTTTTTTATGGGTATGATAATTTATTTTTAATGTGAAGTCATATGATCTTTAACCCCCCCCCCCCACATACACACACCTCGAGGGTGACGTTATTTTTGGGTGGCCCCTCCCGTCCCCTGCATAGGGGCACATAACTAACTTAATG